TAAATAATTAAAATTGTTTAATCAAATAAAAATATTCAATAAAATTACATATAGGAATATAAATTTTTAATTGTAGTTCATATTAATTATTAAATAAAAATTTAATTTTTAATTTAAAAATATTTTTTATTTAATAATATATTTTTTATAATTTAATATAACTTAAATAGTAAAATAACCGTTTGCATTTCAATTTCCATAAATGGAATCGCAGAGGCTGTAGGGGTTGTTCTATATCACATGACGGACACTCACAATGAGTGAATGGATTGGTAGAAAATTTTTTCAGTTTAATTAGAAGTTTTAATTTTAAATTTTGATAATACAATTCTGTTAAAATTTGTGAAGGAGAGTTTTGTTGCTCATTGAGTCTTATTTAGCTCGAACATGAATTAATCAATAACCAATGAATTTTTAGATAACCGGTGGCCCATACCAAGAGAAAAAATTCACATGGAGGACCGGGGAAGATAAAAGCTTTAGGCCCCGTTTGGTATAGTGGTTTTGGGGTAGCGGTTAGCGGTTTTACCTAAATCGCTAAATATAGGTATTTGGTAATTTTATATATTTCGAAACCGCTACAACTGAAGTGTTTGGTAAAATTTTTATTTAGCGGTTTGAGACTAGCGGATAGCGGTTAGGGTCCAAATCACTAACGGATTGAAAAAGCTAATTTATGTAGTTTTTTGCAAGGTTTTTAAAATCGGACCGGATCGGCCGGTTGAACCGGTCGGACCGATACTCGAGGATGAAAATGGTTTGATTTATATGAGAAAACCGTTTGAGGTCAAAACCGATAAAAACCGTTAAAAATCGATGAAAACCGATCAAAACCGATGAAACCGATAAAACCGAAAAAAACACTGGTTCAATCTCATGCAATCTTCTTTCAATTTTTTCCAATTTCACCCTTCCCATTCCTTTCTTATACCCATTTTAACTTTTTATTTTAACAAAATTACAAAATTATCAAACATTAAATTAGAAAATCCATGCTTGCAGCTTGCTCATCTCATCAAATGTTCCTTGCTATTTGGACCGGTCGGTTCACCGATTGAACCGATTGAACTGGTTAAATCGAGAACTGGACCTGAAAACGGTTCAATAACCAATCCGGTTTTAAAAACCTTGGTTTTTGTACCAAACCGCTAGTGGATTAGAATTTTTTAATTTTATTGACAAATTTATCCATTTTAATTTTTTAATTTGTGATCACATTTTTTAATTAATAA